TGTCACCAAAATTTTGATATCAAAAATAAATGAATTTTCATTTAAGCTTTACATATATGTTCAACTCACAAGAGGTACTTTTCAGATTCAAAAATTAAATTTTCTTTTCATTCTTCATATTAACACCAACACATGTAGTTGACCACATGTGTATTTTTCCACACCGCCAATGTCCCTCACCGTGTCAGTAAACTGCCGAAAGTAGTGCGGCAGATCTCCTCCGAGCTTCTGCTTAGTCTTGGCGACTTCCTCCTCAATAGCTTCTCGAAATCTGTCGCACAAAAATATTGTCATCAACATAACCACTGTAGTTACGGTTTCGATTTCCCAGTCGACAAAGGCCCCAGAATTGCGAGCAGCGACTCAGGCCGTATGGAAGCATCATCAGCGTCGTTTCCATGTTCGAATGCCCTTGGACATTGCTCCAAACCGTACCTGGTACCGCACGCATGATACTTCCTCACAATTATGTTCACCTCTGCTCATGCGCTGGTTTCAATCCCTGTAAGTGTTGTATTAACGCCACTACACAGGCCACCAAGATCGACTAAAATGCAGTATGAAATTCGAGACTAGCATCAGAGAGCTTGTAGAAGCTCACTAAGTTCTCTCGTATTCCCAATTCAAGACTTGCCGCGTGCTTCACCAACACATTGTCGTGCGGGAAGCCTGCTACCGATGCCACCTAAAACGGTTGAGCACACAGTCGCACCGTTTAGATGTAAAGTGTGTTCAAGTGACTTGAACCAAGTTGCAGGAAACGAATACAGAATTGTTCTTACAGCGATGTCAGCATGCAGTGTGAGGAAATATGCGAATGGTCAACCACATGATTAGGTGACGATAAGGGAGTTCATATTGGTTTCGGTAAACTCCTATCCGAATTCGTATGTTAGCTTCTACAATAAGCGATAAAACTCCTGAGCTCAACCGGGGTAAGCGCCCCCACATTGTAATCATGTTATGTATTGATCCTTCGGAGTGCATACCTCATCAGAGTTTGCTCCAGTGATTATTCTGCTCAAATACTCCTCGAGCTCCACGATCTTCGATAGGGGTTCAGTTACAAGTTCAGAGAGCTCGTGCACCTGTATGCAGTCGCAAAGAGCATTCCCCCCGCCTCAGTATTGACATGCGCCACCTTTTCACGTAGTTGTCTTCTAGCGACGACATGTTCCTTGCCGAGCCCATACGCGATGCAAACCTCTTCATAAACCTGTGCATTAACTGTTTCAATCTCGCACTAGAATGAAAATGTTTTTGGTGGGGAGTCATTTTGAATTTTCCACATGGCTGAGAACACATTTTGATCCGAAGACGATATAATCATACAATGGAGTTCCACCCGTGATACGCAAAACACTGGTGAAAAACATATTTCACGACTACTGCATACCACGAATATGGCGTTTTTCATCGAGTTTTACGCGTAAAACGGGTGAAACTCCGATGAATTCCAAGTGTACCCTACGCGGTTGGAATACGGAGTGTATCATGTAAGCTCCAACACAGGGCGAGGCTCACCTCGTTCCGTTGTTTCTCGAACTCTTCCAACACTCGCTCGACCATGTTGGTCATGGCCGCCTCAAGCTCCTCTACTTGCACTAGTCTGCAAAGTAGACTACGAGTGAATCTCACGAACTCCCACCTGTCAGCGGCCTTGGCCTTCAACCCCTCGTCAAGCTTTGCTATTTCCGCTGAATAAAACCTGAAGCCTCGCCACTGTTCATATGAGCATCGGAAAATACAGGATTTACGACGGTCTGTGTTACTCTATCTCAGCCCCGCTGTAGCCCTCGTGCTTCTGCTCTTTCTGTATCCTTGTCACATCGCTATTGGCGGCGATCAATTGCTCAACCTGAAGGCTCGTTTGTTTCCAAGCTGACGCTGGACTGAACTCACCAACGGACCACTCAGAGCTGCCATTTCCTTGGAAACTTCGCGGTAGACTCGCTTGAATTCATCACCTGGCATTGCTCTCTATCACTGAGCCAATCATAATCACGCCGCTTAATTTCACATCAATCCTCGCTCATGGATTTCTAACGGAGTTTTGCACGAGACTGTCCAGTGGAGGTTCCAGAAATTTCATGGACGGATGACTGAGTGAGCACTGAGTCTGTGTGAGGAGCGGAGATTTCTGCGATTTGAATTTTTCATTCGAGTAAACTAAGGCTATCGAACTAGGCTTCTCCCTGAGGCTATCGAACGGACCGCGCATGACTCGATAGAAGTGAGTGGCGCTCTTCTTGACTGTGGGGAATGTCATGCGGGTATCCAGATTCAATAAGACCACATCCTTGCTGAGCCCAAGGATCCCCAACTGTGTGTAACCCGTGCGACCGCTTCTCAACCCTTACCGGTGTCTCTGGCACGTCTACTTAGGCCTTTAAGTTCACTCATTATATCCTCTGGATTCCTGGAATTCGATTCTGCACTGGGCTTGAGTTGAGACACACGATGGAGGAGCTCGTCGATGGTAGCACGAAGTCTGTAAAAGGGAACCTTCATGGTTACCTCCCCCGTACGAGATACATCCGATCCGCGTTCAGTAAAAAATGAGGCTTCGAACATCGATGGCTAGTAGCACGTTCAGTGCGTGAATATATGTTGGCTTTTCCCAGCTGAGTTTTGAAGTTTATATAAAAGTTTATATATGAGTGTACAGGAACCAATAAGCATTCACTCAGAATGTGTGCCACCAACACACGTAGTCGAATACTGAGGATGTTGTCACTAATGGCTGTTCAGATGGCTGTAAGACAGAATCCCACCTTTTGTCTCCCTCAATCAAAGTATCCATCAAAGCATCGAAACGACCATCTTGAGCAGCGGATTTCTTCGCTATGGCCACCGCATGTCGCTCGAATTTACTCTTATGTGACATGATTTGTTTCAACCGAGGCTCGTACCACTGAGAGGACATCAGAATATACTCTACCAGCAAATCTTCGATGATCTCAATATGTGGTGTGAGGAGCTTCAATACCTCGGATCGGACTAAACCCTTCCTCGTGTTGTGCTTTCGCAATCGATCGTCCAGCTCGTAGCTGAGCATTTCAGCGCCCTAGAGAAGCCGTAAGCGGTTGAGTTCGGTACGAACGCACCATCCTCGCCGCCTTCTCGCTATCATCAAGTTGCACCTCTTTCTCACACTGCAAGAACTCCATCAGTTTCACACGGAAGGCATGCACGTAGTCACAGAGCCAGGCCATTTCGACATGAACCTGAGATGAGATAATCCACAACGGCATAAAGTACAACAGGAGTTCACATCATTCAAACACACTTCTCCCCCCACACGTGTTGGCCAAGCATTCTGAGCTTCTTCACTTGCAGTCTAAAGCTTGGAGTCTGTTTGCTCCAACACACCAGCGCAGCTTGCCTCAGCTATCTCAGCATTCCCGTCTGCATTGCTCTGATCGACCCCATCTCCCTTGGTCAAGGCTTCGTCTGGAGATCCACTGGTCGAGCCATCGACCAATGGATCAGCTACAGGCTCTGGTCAGAGGCCACGAAGTCTTCTTTCCTTCTATTGACTATACCCTCCCTCACCGTCAAGCTCTTCCCTTTGACAAATCCGTTCCTCAACGAAGTGCTGTGGGTCTAGTAGCTCGCACATGCTCGCTGCTGCCACTCCCGACCAGAGCTCCAATAGTTGCTCCGGTTCTAGTAGATGAAAATGACGATAATGGAAATGATGATGAAGATGATGATAAAGAAGAAGACTCAAGACCCTCGTTCTATCCTTAAATACTTCAACTATGCCACTATGCGGACTCACCTCTATTGTCATCGTCGTGCTCTTTTGTTGCAGGATGCGTAACGACGTCGGTTCCGGTATGGTCTTTCTCGTCATTGGGGGCCGCTCGTCGTTGCATGGCAATTGTGAGTCGCTGAGATATTATAATTTGGACTGGCGATCCACGGACTGGAGAGGATGGAAACTCACGTGTCTCGAACTATTGCTACACGAATAATAACATGCCTGCGGGTTTTATACCTCCGCGAAAGAGATTTTCATTAGCCTAATGTCTAGACCGTCTACGAAGAGTAATAAATTTGACCGGCAATAGCTCAGTTGGTAGAGCGTCCGACTGTAGTGCATAGTCATCGGATGGTCCCTGGTTCGATTCCGGGTTGCCGGATTTATTGGAAAATCCAATTGCTCCTATTCCCATATACAACGTGTATTATACTTCAGCGCCTATCGGAGTCTTCCAGAGAAGACTCAAAGTGAGTGCGCATACAACTCACGTAGCCCGCGCATGAGTCTCCTACGAAGTTTACCAGCTGGGCTAGTGAGGGACTCTATTCTCGTTCGAATTACAGCAGACAGACCAATCCTGCCGCTGCTGCTGCCTCTCCCTCAAACCAAACACGGATCGTAGACTTACTTCCAGTCCAAAGAGATTCCCAAGTGTGCTTTTGTGGAGCTCATAAAAAGCCTAAGAGCAGTGGTGGGTCGGGTTGTCGTAACTTTCCAGTGTGACCAACACTGGTTGGAGGCACTCACCTCTACCGAACTCGGATATTCCTCATGGACGTGCAACATCTTTTTCGCAAAATTCTCTATCTCCGCAGCCATAGCGTCAAGCTGCGTATACGTCTGAAAGGCAACCAACCGCTCTGTAAGGTCGAGCCAAAACTCCAAATCTCATGCAGATGCTACAATGCGGATATAGCCCAGAAAAATCTGAATGTTCTTAATCAGTCGCGTGATGATATCACATTAACAGCTGTCGACAAGCCAAACATTGAGAGTGAATGCCATCACTCATTAACCCATGCAGACCTCTGTGGTTGCCTCTTCGAGATCCGGATCAATATGAGGAGAACTCCTGATGCGCCTACGACATTCTTTCAACTTTTCTTCCTTGGCCTCACACTCGGCTTCGTGCTCAGCCTGAGCAACACTCATCTCTCACCCCAACCTGCGCCGGCTGCTACTCGACGCCTCTGCAGGTCGTTCTTATGCTGTTCCATCATAGTCAGTTTCTGAGACCGCATATCCTCCAGAGCCACTGATGTGCTCATTATAAGTGCTGCCATTTTGGAGCATCTGCGTGAGCTTCTAACATGAGTCCCCGCCGTGATGGGTCGTTACCTAGTGTGCTGCTCTCTTTCCAGTTCATCCAATCTCTCCTTGGTTGTCGAGATCAAAGCGTCCAGCTGGGAATAGCAGGCTTGAAGGTCGGAGACGAACACAGCATCAACTACTTCGGCCGCGGTAGAATGCTGACCGCAAATTCAATCATTCAAGATTTGCCAGACTGACGCTAAGAAGAGCTCATGGCGAATTTACACGAGTCAATCACAAGGAGGATATTTCGAGAGTAACAAATGATCCCACCTCGCCCCATCTTGCCCTGCAGTCGATCTGCTCTATCTCGGCCACCAAATGCTCATAGAGCTTCTGGCCTACATCTCCGATATGTTTCCGTATCATGTCCATAGCTTCCCTCTGTGTGGCATAGTTCTAAAAACACTCTGAGTAATCGAAATCTTTGATCACAACGTTCAAGAGAATTTTCAGTATTGGAAATTCCAATTTGGAATTCAGTTATGCTTCGCACCTTCCTCAAAATCTCATCAACGGACTATAAATAACTCTACTTTGGCGGCTCCAGCACTGAGTTCATCGAGTGAGGCCAGCGCTGCCTGCGCTCTGTCGCCAGTCAGTTCGCCAACTGTTGAGTCTCGGATCTGTTACAATACGTAGTGATACTACTGCTCATAACAGTTTGGCATAGTGTGACCAAGCCTATTGGCATCAAACTTTGAATCAACAACAACAACAAAAACAACAACAACAACAACAATAACAACAACAACAACAACAACAACAACAACAACAGCAACAAGAAGAACAAGAACAGGAACAAGAACAACAACAACAACGAGCACAACGAGAAAACAACGAAAACAACAACAACAACGACAACAACAACAACAACAACAACAACAACAACAACAACAACAACAACAACAACAACAACAACAACAACAACAACAACAACATCAACAACAACAACAAGAACAAGAACAAGAACAACAACGAGCACAACGAGCACAACGAGAACAACAACGAAAGCAACAACAACATCAAAAAACAACAACAACAACAACAACAACAACAACAACAACAACGAGAACAACAACGAGAAGAACAACAACAACAACAACAATAACAATAACAATAACGATAACAATAACAACAACGAGACGAACGCTACCTCCGCAAGAGTCTCTAGCCGACGAGCCAACACGTCCGCTTGACTCTCCTTGAGGGACTCAAAAACCTGTCGGTTGCATTCATTTGAAACCGATAAACAGAGTATTCACTGTAACGAGCTCAGGTGGGTCCTGGAACTCAGAACTTCGGAGCCTCTTCAAAGCCCTGTGCATAGCTTGATCGTGGCGGCTCATGCGCCATCGGTGCCGACCGCGCTCCCTGATGATTAGGACGACACCGTTACTGAAGGTCAGCCGAGCAGCACACACCATCTCTCTACAAGGGAGATCCTCTCGTCATTGCACTTGAGTATGCGAAGGTTGTGCAACAAATCGACGTGTTCTCTTCTGTTGTCAGCGAGGATAGCATTCGCCTCAGTGGCTAAATCGGCGATGATCCTGCACAGATACTGAATCATCTTCTACTAATGGATTAACGCATTCTAGATAGAGGCACTGACTCACCGCTGCACACTGCCTTCATCAGCATGAGCAGCCAATAGAAGCTCCTCTGTCAAGGATCTCAAACGTTTATCTATCCTATCTTTGCGTAAAGTAACCTCAATATCCTGAAGAAACACGAGCACCAGTCCTATCCTGAGAGTGTTTTGTTTATTATTTGTCCCCGAATCATTAGCTGATTGTCGATGGCCATTCGAGGGACAATGAAATCCATAATACGTGATATCACGAACCCAGCGTGCATGAATATATAGAGTCTATAGACTCGATTTTAGTATAGACGAGTTCTTCAGGAGAGCTCCCTTGTCTGTGACAGCTTAAGTCTAAGGTATTGGCGTTCTCAGATATGACTCAGTACCAGCAGAACTCCCACGTTATCAGTCAGACCTCACCTCAAGACGCTGTGCAAAGTCATCGATCAGTT